CACGGACTCCTCACCCCTCAACATACCACCGCTTCCCCTACCACATCGCGACATAGCCGAAGACCGTCACGTGTCGCTTGCTGCAGCCGCCCCACTCCGGGCCACTCGCCAGCTCCGCGCCATGCACGCACGCCCAATAGAAGGCACCTGGCACCATCACTTCGCTGTCGCATCGCGCCGCTCCTCCCCGGTGTGGAAGCGCCTCGTCGAACACGCAGTATCGATGCAGGCGGGGCGCAGCGCTCCCGACAGCGCTGCGCCCGCTTTAGACTCGTTTTGAGGAAAAAGCCTATCCGATCCCTTGTGAGAATATTGTCTAAGATTCCTTACCTTGCTGCCAGGTGTCCCATGCTGCAGTGTCTAGCTACTACTAATGGTCACGGAGAGCAGGATCCGGATCAGAGGAATCTGGTATCCGTTAGTAATAAGTGGTATTGGGTGATGTAAAAGGGACTAAAGAAGTTAGCTAACGATATCAATCTCAAACATCAGGCGAAAACCCCAACCAGCAAAAGAGCAAAATAAGACGTGTGTGTTTGGAGGCGTGTGGGTAGGTAATTAGTCCTTTCCGTAATTACTACTGGCCCTCTGAAATTATTAGTGCTCAATGGACCAATGGTAGAAAGTAGGTGGATAGTTGTGAGAGAATTGCTTATGGGTGATGGTAAATAAAAGGGAAACAATAAGCGATACTCAAACAGGGTTAAAAGAGTGGAACTGCGGGCAGGTGCGTTCGGTGTTAAAAGCGCCTTCGGGCATTTCCGTCCTGGATCTGTGGGCGTGCTATTGCTGTCTGTGTACTACTTGGTTTCCTTTTCGAGGCTTCAGGGGGGGTAGGGGCCACTAGCAGTGGGCTGTCTTATGCGTAGGGTTAGGATCGAGCGACAGGAGTGGGTGACCTATCATTGCGTCTGTGTATGAGTGCGCCTGGAAAATTCGGCGCGGAGGGGGAACCTTTTACAGTTTAGGTTAAGTGGGGGACTAATTGCGGGGGCGGGAGCGAGTGAAAAATGACGTGGAGTGGAGTGCTGGGGATGAATGTAAGGTTGGATGGGACTTTGAGGTGGGGAAAATGTGTTGTACGGTCTTCTCGCTGAAGCGCTGAAGGAACCGTATTCCTGAGGGAGAGGAGGGCAGACCAGAAAAGTCCGTCCTACTGTCGATAATTATGGGGATATTACTATGAATAGTGAATTCGGGGCCGGAGATGTGGGGAGGGGAGGAGGAGAGAAGGAAAATATGATAATTCTAATTATGGTAAGGGAGCGACCATCATTTGTAGTAGGACCCACTGGGTAGGCAGGAGTTTGGAATCCTGACCTCCGTTACCTGACGGGAAGGAACCTTCCTTTCTCAAAACACCGGCCCGGAGAGGAGAGCGCCGAGATTCTTGATTCTGTTCTTGAGAGAGGCTCCTCGCTTCGATGCGATGCAGTCTTGCTTACTGCTGTAGCAAAACGCCCGTCTGGGGCGTTGCGCTGGTAAGGATGTGTAAAAACAGAGTAGAAATGTGTAGTTGAGTTCACTGTGGTAAAAGCGTTGTAAGGCAATAGGGCTGGCTGGGACCGGCCACCAAGCCCAAACCCAAGCCGAGCGGAGTGAGTATCTCGCTGGCAGAGTTGGGTTCGTGCCGCCCCTCCTACTCCAGGAAGGAAGGGAGGCTGGCTATGGTTGTGATTAACACGTGGCAATAGCCGTGTAGTTACCGTGGTAACTTCATCAAGCCGTGCGGCGGCGCAGGCGCTCAACGCGGTAGCGGAGCGACGCAGGAGCGCACGCCGGTCCCTTGGCTGAATGATTTTGGAAAGGCTGGAAACTCTTTTGTCGGGACCCCATCGCAGGGACTCAGTGCGTTTTGCGGCAAAGTGCGCAAGTTCTATTCCATTTTGGGAAATGCGGCCGTTCAGCATCTCGAAAAGGAAAGTGGTCGAATGTCGGGTAGGCGTGGGTGGACCGAAGGAATGACCGTGCCGCCTGAAGTGGGTGACGCAGGGCAACATGTGCGAGAGGCAGTGTGACCTCCCGGCGGTGAGGGGGTCGAAGGGGACCCACGGTCCCCGTCGCGCTGGACGGTTCCACACGACCGTTGGCACAGGCCTCCACATTTTGTAGGTGGACGTTATGTCCGCGAGCCGCTGCGATTCCACGTGAGTGAAAGCTATCGCCGCCATTACCAGTGTTGTCTGCCTCGTCCATCGCTCTTTCGTCCCGTCCCCATCGCCGCAGTTGAGTGCACGTGTTCCAACGTCCACGCGCGTGGCTTGTGCAAGGGTCGTTGCACGTAGCGTGCCGCGACGTCAGACCCAATGGATGATTGGGACGATACCATGTTCCTCATGGTTTTCGTCCTTCTGCAGTGCATGAACAGAAGGAACTTGGCGGCGATGGCTGTCCTGCAGGCAGCGGCTGCGATGCCGAATTGTCTGTCAGGGTTGTCTTCCAGCCTGTTGCATCTCACGGGTGCGGTGATGCACAACATGTCACTGGCGGACGTACTGGGCAGCGTTTTCATTTGTCGTGTAGATGGTCGAAGACGCGTGTGGGTGTTGGAACGCAGTGGGGGTGTGTGGAAGGACCTCCAAAGAGAGGGAGGCAGGCATGAGAAGGTCTTCCAACAGTTTTGCAGACTTCCCCGACCGCTGTTCAATGAAATTTTGGCTCGCATAGCGCCACATATCCAGCGTCAGACGACGAACTGGAGACAACTAGTCCCGGCGGCGCAGAAGTTTGTATGCGCTCTCATCAGGTGGGCGACTAGAGGTTACTACAGGCAGTCGGCCCATGGTTTGGGTCTTGGTTTGGCGAGCACACTGCGGAGCAACGTCGATGTTGCCGATGCGCTGATCAGGGAGTATGGGCATCTGCTCCAGTTCCCAACAGGGCAAAAGCTGCAAGAGATGTTGGATGCTTTCGAACGCAAAGGTTTCCCGGGCCGTGTGGGAGCCATAGACTGCACCCATGTCTACATCGATAAGCCTGCAGGTCAGAGGGGGAAGTGTTTCTATGATCGCACCGGCCAATTTTCTGTTGTGGCGCATGTGGTGTGCGACCACGAGTGTCGAATTCAGAGTGTTTTCGTGGGTTGCCCGGGGTCTGTCCACGATAGTCGTGTGCTGCGAGTGTCTCCTTTGCATCGCGAGGCGCAGCGTGGTGGTGGGGTGTTCGGCACGGGTGGGGAGGTGTTGCGTGGTGGCCGTACGATTGGCAGGTACTTGCTCGGCGACGCTGGCTACCCGCAGTTGCCGTGGATTATGACTCTAGTTGGGGGCAACAACAAGAATGCGGCTGAACAGGTGTATGATGATTGTCACACCTCCGCACGGTCATGCATCGGACGCACTTTAGAAAGATTGAAGGTGGTGTGGAGGAACTTCATCAGGACACATATTGCGAATATGAAAATCCTTCGCAAAGAGTTCATGGCCATGTGCATACTTCACAACCTGATGGTGCAACACAGGGTGCAGGTGGATCCTGAAATGCTTTCCGACGACAGTGATGGTGATGGTTGTGATGTGCAGAGCCGACGTCGACGACGACGTCCACGTCCGCAAACGCGGCATGCACCCTGTCCGCCCCCTCCGGAGGAAGACGCAGCATGCGCTATTGAGTTGGGGAATGAATTGAGGGACTGTGTCATCATGCATGTGCGGCATCACAGCCGT